AATTAAAACAAATTTTGAATCATCAATTAACAATAACTGGCATTTATTAAAGCTTAGGTATTATTTCTGAATTGTTTACGCCGCCAAAATAATAACTTTCACACCTACAATGTTTTTGATTTTCGTTCAGCTGTTAGAAATGTAAACAAAACTGCATTTACCTTCAAATAAAAAAAAATTAAATATTATTTTTACAACATTAAATGGTTTTGAAAAATTTTTTAAGTAAAATTCTTCTTCGTTAAATAATAACTCGCATCGTATTTGCTATTCTCAATGATACCCCAAAGAATATTTAAAATTCAAAGTTGCTAGATCTGGCATTTATCCGAGAAGATGACCTTGACTTGTGCAAATAACTCCCGCATTTGTGCTAAAATTTGAAACAAACAAAAGCGAGAAGCGGTCAAAATAAACAGCTAAGACGGCAATCAAGCCTGATCGCAGACCTTGTGGTAATCAAAGAGATAAACATTTTGATAAAACCATAGACCATCTCATCCTATCGAGAGTGTTCTATTTTCGGCGAAAGGGTAAAAACTAGTGGAGCTGGCTTAAATGGCGAATTTAAGTTTTGGGTAGAATGAAACGGGTTTTTTGTGGGCAATTAAACGGAGAACAGTGACCATAAAAATCAAAACAATAAAAGCCAAAACTATCTAAACATATAACAAGCCGTTTAATTTGAACGTGTGCACTTCACTGAAGTTTTAGAGGCTGCTCTCATCAAATCAACGACTCCTAGAGTTCGGCCTTCTGGCCAAATTTGTCAGTTATTTTGACCTTTTCACTTATGAATTGTTTATGAATTGAATTAAAAATAGTTTTTTCTTCTCTATGGTAAAGGCTAACTGGTGCGGTTTATAAATATAGTTTCGGTGAAATTTATGGCTACTTTAAGCCGCCTTCTCTTATTTGTTTTAGCTGCATTGGCCTACATTCATAAAAATTTAGGTTATTATAATGTTTAAGAAATAAATATGCCCGGTGCTAATGATGCATCGATTTTCTTACAACATTTTACAACGCTTTTGGGTATGACAGATGTTCACTTCAAGTCTTTAGAGCATTTATGTTAATTGAAATCAAAGCCAGAAACAATATAATCAAAATTCAATGCCACTTCTGCTTCACATATAAGACTTAGTGTTTCTTTAGGTCTTCTTTTTCTATGGGCTTTGGGAATGTGGCTCTATGAAGTCGGAAGTTGTTGGTCAGGTTTACAAATAACACTATATTGAACGAAGCAATTATGATTTGCTTTGGCAGACCAATGCTTAACAGAATCATCGAATGCTCAGTTTGTGTGGAATTCCCATAAATATTCACAAAGAGAAGAACAGTTAAAAATTATAATAATTTTGACGTGGTAATTATCATATAGTCGATAACATTTTAATTCTTATGAATCACTGGTTATAGCAGTGAGAACAATGTGCAAAAAAACTAAAAGCCAGTTAATATGATTTAATGTTTATTGGGTACAAAAGTAAATTTTTAAAAAGTAAATATGAAAATATTTTCTTTTAATACATACCCTTTCTTCTTCTTTAAATATTGTTTTTTAGCTTAGAATTATTTGGAATTATTTACCCTTAGAACCCGTACCTATACCCGTACAATAAACTTAGATTCAACATTGAGTCCACAAATAGTCTAGGTATTTTCTTAACGGTTAAATTGACAATCGTCAAAATTCAACTGAAAAATTCAGCAAAAAGTTTCGTTTTATTTATTTACCTAATGTTTTAATTGCAAACAGTAAAATCAGTGAGTCATCGCTAAAAATATAAAAATCCATAATCTTAAAATAAAAAACAAATACAGAAGACGAAAATTCGTTTCTCAAACACTAGAACCAGATTGAATTGGTTACCGAAATCGAAAGCATTCCACAAACTCCACAACGCAGTTCTTCTGATGTGAAAAAATCACATTATTCTGAACGAGAATCCCCCCAAGCGAATCTAATCTGCAAATGAATAGCAAATATTAAATACTTCTGTGGTCGAAAACGCAATTAGCACATCGCAAATGAGATTCCCAAGACTCAGAAAAAATTGTTTACGGTAGCCAATCGATGGCCTTGATGATATATGATTTTTGGCCAATAATTATCGTGCTCCTTATTGTTGTCATGATAAATCATAATTAATAATACGCGAAGCTTAGGCAGTTCTGACCAAATGGGCCATCATCGGCATAGGAAATATGAACAGCATAAAGTCCAAGTCATCGGATAAACACATGGCATAAAACACGTTCGGTTTTTTACGGAACCCCAGCCGGAAGTAAGATGTTAAAACAAGAATTCTGATAGGAAGTAAAATAGGTTAACGCTCAGATTGGCGCTTGGCTTTATAGACTCACCTTTATGGTGGTTCTAACGGGTTTTTTTTGGCGAAGGCTACCAGTTGATTCATTTGCGATTGTCTGCCTCTATTATGGGGTTCTTGTGGCCAGCACAATCTCCGTGTTTCGTATTTGGATTCAGATTCGACCAGAGTTCAGCATATTTTCGTCGTTCGGTCAACAGGGCACGAGGTTAAATTCTCGAAAAAGGAAATAGCTACTTTTCAACATGCGCCAAGACCTGCTCGCTTTTGATTGCAGAGAACACATAGAATACGGTTGTTTTGGGTTTAATTATTGCGGAAATTGGCAAATGATAAATTTTGGAGAAACGGTTCATAAAGGGAAGAATAATTGTTTCAGTGGCGCACTAAATTTTAAAGCGTGTCCATCATTTTGATAATAACTTATGAAACTTAAAGTTATATTTTAAATATTTTTCTTCATAATTTTAGACTTGACTTCAGAAATATATTTGATTTGTAAACCATTTTTTTTACAATGATGGTGATTTTTAAACATTTTTAGTATTTTAAAGGAATATAAATAAATTAAAATAAAATTTTGTGGTGATATAAGGCAACTCTGTTTAACAGCTGTGAGTAACTATAGACTGTCACTCTCAAAATCTCTCGAATATCTCTCTCTTTTTTGTCAAAACAACCACTGAAAGCCCTGAAATCAACAGGAACAGCTGAGTCTCCCGCCTTTTTCGTCCCTTTCCGCCAGCCCCTTAAATCCCCTTTTTTCTCTCACTGCGCCTGCGTCACAAATGTCAAAAAAGCCACGCATTGGGAAACGAAGCTCAGGCGAAAAGCAGTCGAAAAATATAAATAAGCGAATAAAATAAAACGAACCAGACACAAAAAGAATGCTCGCAGATCCAGTAAATTAATTTGCATATTTAGGTAATTAATCGATCGACCGAATGCCGGCTAATCCGAAAACCGCTACTAAAATAAACGCAATTTCGTGTAATTCAAAACAGTGGTAAATAATTGGTTATAAAATGTGATTTAACTAGTTAAGAAAGTGAAAGAAATTTAAACGAAATTATTTATGTTTTTGTGCTTAACATGTGCTCAAAAAATCCGAAAATGGCCTTAAACATTTTTATCAGTTTTTTGACCCGCAAAACTTCTTGTTAAAAATGCAAATCGAAATCTAAAAAACGCACGTATACAAAACAAACGATATCAAGTCAAATAACTAAAATTTGCTTATTATGCAATCCGAAAATGTGACGAAATCGTTAAGAATGGTCAGCCAAATATTATTTCAATCGATTAGCATAACAGGTTTTAAATGCGAAAACAGCAAAAGACCGAGTCCAAATTGATGTCTTGGTATGGGAGAATGTGAAAGAGAGGCAACGAAAGGAGAGAAAAAGGAGAGCACGAAGTGCATTGTAATGTTGACAACAGGAAAAGAGGATATAAGTTGGCCAAAATTGCATTTAACCAAATTTTCGGGCAGACGACTTTCATCCGATTTACAAATAAAGTAAAATAAAATACGAACATCGGGACTTAAGGGGAAAGTGAACAGTAGTATCAGAAGTTAAGGTCGATTTTTATTATAATTATGAGTTAATGCTATAATTCACTTTCAGTTTTAAGCTTGTCAGCTTAAAGACAACTGTAATTTTATACAATTTTTATTTAAAAGAATATTTTTGCCTTTTTAGTAGAATTAATATCTTGAACCAGATTTTAAATAAATATAAAAAAAAATCTTGCAAAAAAATGTTTGTATATAATTTTAAATAATATTATATATTTTTTTTAACATAAAATACATGTATTTAAATACAGTTGGCTTTTCTTTCAAAGTCTTTATTTTGGGATAGCTGACGAAAAATAACATGAATACTTCCTATATATTTACACCATTCTGAGTAAGTGAATTTATTAATAAAAACAATTAATAATACAAATTTAAAAAGATTTTGCAATCAAAACTGGTATGTACATAACTAAAGTAACAAAAAAAATATATCAAAGCGGGATAAATCTCAATAAACTTTAAGTAATCAGCTAAGGAACAACCAATTTAAACACGCTCAAAAAAAGATGAGAGGTCGTTTCAATAAAAGATTCAGCCACGTGGGAATATATAAATTAAAAGTGCTGATGCACTTTTAACACTCCCTAGAAAGAAAGTTCAGTGATTTTTTAATAATTAAGTGATTAGGTGTCATAAAAGGGCCTTAAAAGGTTTACTCAACCCACTTTCGTAAATAAGGTAATAAAGAAAAGCGTCACCCATGTAAGCTGCAATTTAGCTTTAATGTTTCATAACGCTAATTAGTCATGTTCACGCTGTCCTTCTAATGCAGCCGGTGATAAATTAAAAAAATATATATATGAAAGCATAAATCTCAATTAATTTGAAACAATTACACAAAACAAAAAACCAAGAGATTAGTGGCGTAAAGCAAAGCGCAGCCCAAAGCAACATAAGAACCGAGCAACGAGCAAAACAAAAATAAAGTAAAAAATATACACAAAAATAAGAGCCGAAGCTGCGCTTGAAGCTCGATGACGTCACAAGCGGAGCTTCGTCTGAGCTGCGAGCGGTTAAGCAGCGCAGTCGACGTCGACGCCGGCGATATATCCAATAGCGCGCCAAAATAAGAAGTCGAAATTCATTCCTTTCGAGCCCACAACGTTCAAATTCGTTTGCTACGCTCACGAGAGCGGACGTGCAGTGCGGAAAAGTCCGACAAAAATCAGACAAAAGCCCCAAGTCCCCAAATTCAAACTATATACAAAAAAGCAAAAATACAAATCACTCACGAAATTAACTTGAAACAAAAACCCAAATTAATATCGCGCCTGTTGCTTGCGGTTGTGTTTCGTTTGCATTTAAATTAACGGAAAAAAAACTACGAAAATATTACATAAAAAGAAAGCAAATTAAATTGTAAACTTGTGTCTTAGGAAAGTGTGATCTAATTATACTAAAATTAAACAGATAATATCCAAACGAGCACATCCAGTGGCCAGTCTGTGAAAAAATGGAGAAAAACAACAACAACCTTCCCGCCGAGGATGAGCAAATCCTGGCCAATGGACACGCTTTGACCAATGGCAATGGAGTGGTCCACCCCAAAGAGGAGCAAATTGCTCCTGCGGCCAATGGGTGGGGTCAAGTCCTGTGGAATACCTGGGATGCTTTCGCAGACGTCGCCTGGTTCATCATCTGCTGCATTGGATACATTCTGCAGGTGAGTTTAAAAAAATTAAAAATAAATTATAAAATAGGCTATGGGAGATAAAAAAGAATTCTACTCAAAATATTAATCTGAAGAAAAAGCATAAATAAATATTCATACATTTTAAGGAACAGTTAGTCAGGGCTAAATAAACTCACTAAGAAACTGAAAAATTTAAAATGTTTAAATATTTAAGATGCTTTAAACAAAACCATTGAAAAGTAGCCTTAAACCTTCCCACCGATTTTATTTAATAAAGCAAAGTCAAAAATTTGCTTCAACTTTAATTATCTACAAATAAAAAATACTCATAAACAAAAGGTTCCTAATTTTTGAGCGATCAAATAAAAGACACTTTATTGTCTCTCAAACTGCCTTCTGGTCGCGACCTTCTCACTTTTGTTTACAACGGATTAATAAAAATTGTTAAACGATTGCTGAAATCTCATTTGCTTCCTCCGTTCGAAAGAATAATTCACCTTCGCTTTGACTTTGGTTGATTAGCAACATTGTGTGATTTAGTTAACGCTTTTTACCTTCGGGTCTCGACGAAATGTGTCAATGTTGTCGGAGAGAATTGCACCGAGACTTCCAATTCTGACGATCGCATGGCTGGCGAAAAATAATGAACGACAGCGATTAACTTATTTAATTAGCAGCGAAAAGGATGTGATATATGGCCAAAGGTAATGGGCATTGCCAATGGCAGCACGTGTGGCGTTTAATTGGAACCGTGAAAGAGATTTAAGGCATTAAGATCCAGCGGAGACAAGTTTAAAGATCGCATCTTTAGATACGAGGGAGGGGCCGCCGGACGATTTAGGGACTGCTCGAGATGATGTAAACCAGCCTGTGAACGATAATTTATTTTGACTTGCGACTTTGGCTTTCAAGATGTAATCAGGGGAGGGAAAGGACTGACGGAACCAGTTGGAAATTGAGTTATCACGCATCATATTTTCACATATTGATTACTTATTCAGTCAAATTTATGAGGTGTAAAATGAATAAATATAGAGTAGTAATAAAAGTAAAGTATTTAATTATTTAAACTCATAAACTATAAAATCAATTAATATTTAATTCTTTATTAAGTTATTAAGTTTTTAATGCTAAAAATAAGTGTATATGCTCATTTAAAAATTCGTCATAAATTTACCCCAAACGAAAACATTGTAACTAATTATATTTAATAATAAAATGGCCATTAATCTCAATTTGAAATGCAAGTAAGTGCTAAAGTGACTAATGCAGAAGCTTGGCTATACTTATTGTTCACCTGTCTAATTAATTGCCTTTACACAGTTGAATGAGATTGCAAACTTGGAGAATCACCAGCGATAAGATCATTAGGGCTTTCGAGCCAATAAAACTGCTCAGGGGCTTGAGAGATCTCTGGGAATTTTAAAATTAGGCCCAGACCCGAATCGGGTTCAAACTGACACTCTGACACGCTAAGTGGTTTTTAAATAACCGAAAATAAAAGACAATAAAAGTTATTTCAATTTCATTGCATAAGTCTTGGCCTGTGGTAATTATATTTTCACTTTACCGCAAAAAAAACCGAACAAAATAAAACCTTTTGTATCCAAGGGTTAGTGAGATATGATCGTGAAATATGTGTGGCACCGGTACTCCTCCGTTGCGGTGGCATCATTATGATGCACGATCCGCATGGGAGAGGCCCATAAAAATATAGACGGCTGGAAATAAACTGTTGACATTTTTGCATGCCAAATGCAAAACCAGCGATTCAGAAAGACAACTGAATTTGCATGTAAATTTACGGATTTGGTAAACGCTCTAATGTAATTCTAAACGCTAAACGCTTGACTGAGTTTGTCGATGATAGCTAGCAGATGTGCAAATTGGTCGCTGATTGTTGTGATTGAATTAACAATCGGGCAGATAACCCGTGGAGTATAATTAGCCCGATTTATGTCAATGCATTGCTAGTATGCATTTAACAAATGACTTGGGCAACAAACTTGCGCTGAAAGTTCCACCTACAAGTTGGACATTATGGGAGGAGAGCTATGTGGGCACTGTTACAGTGCAAGAAATTGATATAGGATGGGTGATATATATTTTTTTAATAATAATTCCGCCTTTTTTTTTGGTAGGTAAGCTATAATATAAATAGAATAACATAAAAAACCATTTTAAATATTTATTAATCCAAATATTTATAAATGACAATTATACTGAATTACATAGTTCACCAATTTTAATTATTAGACCCTTTATTTATTAAAATTTTACAGACTTTGAAGAATATAAAAAAGTTCTAAATCTGAATATTAATTTTTTTAAACAAGAAAAATTTTCTTGACCATTTTGGGCCATGTTTCTTCAAGTGCTTGGGGCATGTAATGAGCCAATTCAGCAGAGTTACTGCCCGCTGCTGAAGTCGCTGTCAACTGCGCCGCTGCGTTTGGCTTGTTGACCTAGTTCAACTTTTGCATTTTGCCGGCTCTGTTGCTGGTGGTGCTGGCCACTTGGAGAGCCTGTTTTTATTAGCTAGCCGCAAGACGCACACACTCGCACGCTTCGTATTGTAATTGTGGTAACAACAACATCAGCCACCGCAATTTCGCGGGCATTCGTTGGCTTTTGTGTGTGCGTTGCAAACGCAAACGCAATTGAAATTGAAAGTGTTTGCGGCCCCCCCGAAAGGCAAATAGCTAAATACAATATCATACTACTGGATGGGTTGCCTTAGCTCACCTCTTTGTTGGCTGTAAGCCGTAAGTCGTTTGTTGGCTTAGAGACCGGGCCGGTTGCAGGTTCATAACCCGCATGCGGCCTTGTGCTTTCGACTGATTTACGGCTGCCAGTGTGTGTGAGACTGAAAAATGGGTTACGGGGCGGGTGTTCCTCGTCAATGTCCATACAAGACAAGATACAGAAAAAAACCGTGTGGCAGGCACATCGTACATCATCGCCCAAAGAAACATTTAATGTATGCCGGCGAACACTTAAATTTATTTGAGGGAGTTAATATTTTTCTAAAATTCCTAGAGCATCAAATAATGGTTTCAAAACCATCACCAATCACTTTAAATGTATATCTTCAGTCTATATCCACTCGTTCACAGTTCTGCCATAGTTAAACAAAAGTTTCTGGAGGACCAAAATTATTTTTCCAATTTTCCTATTTAAACCAAAAATCATAGTGACTTAAAAAATGTAAAGAAATTGTAATCCTGTTTTGGTAATAGAATAGTTATAAAGTTCATGTTCAAAAAATTTTAAAAAATTGCTTACTCAAATCCTTTTTTTTATATTTAAGTAAAATTTTTGAAGTTATATATAGATTGTTCTTAATCAATCGTTCGAGGTAAAATTTAAGTGCTTGATTTTTTAACGGAATAATTAATGACACCTGCTGGTTTCATTGGCTTAAAATAAATGTACTTCGAGCTAATCACTCGACATATCCGTTGCAGTTGCATTTGGCTTGGCAAATATCCGCCTTGGCAGACAAATTACCTCTTAAGTCACTCAATTCACAAGTTGCAGTAGTCGAGATCGCATAGAACTCGATTGTGCGATTTATGAGCGCGTGTCTCAAAAGCAAATACACTGCTAGAAACCTTTATTGTGATGCTAATTTTTCACCGAATCTATAAATGAAAATTGCTATTGAAGGTCGCACCGACAGCCGATGACAGCGACCACCCGCCTGCCATAAAAATCAGCAAAAAGCACAAAAAGCAAAACAGCGAAGAGAAGCCAGACATGAGCAAACAAAACTTAAAGTGCAAAATCATTGGCCAATTGGCCAGGTAGGCTAAAAACTTTCAAGTGTATGAGGGGAGGGGGCAGCGGAGACTCGATTCAAATGCAATGCACCGCGCAGCAGTCTAATAGTAGTTGTGTTCGCTGCATTTGTTGTCGGCGGGTTTCAATTTCAGGTTTATTATTATATTTTGTGATGCTTTTTGCACTTCCTCTGTGGGGTATTACGACTTAAAAAGGGACAATAAATATGTGAAATTTGAAAAAAATGGTAACCAATTTTTAAAATTTTTGATTTTTTCAACAGTATTGCAAAACTTCTAATTTAACAAAAATAAAATTAAATTTTAATTTTATATATTTATATATTTATATATTTCTCGATAATTAAAATGTGTTTTTCCTTCAAAACATCGAAACTATCGATAATTTGTTAGGCTCTAGTCAAGAGTATATAAAATGCTACGAACGAAATCTTTGATGCATTTAATATGGCTTCCAAAGCTCTTTTATTTTTATTGCAACTGTCGGTGTCTGTGTCTAGTTTCAAAGCATTTCGGCAAAGAAGGTCATTCAGAGGGGCAGCAAGGAGGCGGGGGGGTCGGCAGGCCAGCAGTCGACGTCTGCCAAGTGTTTGTGCATTGGCAGCATTGCAACACCGGCGTTTACAATGTTTTGTGGCAAGTTCGTGCCTTAAGTCTTTTGTTTTGGCTCATTCGTGCAAAATGCACTCAGAGCCACTGTGTGTTTTCCACTCGACTCAAGCAAAAAGTGGCCAAAATTGGAACCAATTTGGCCGACAGCAGGTGCGAGTGTGTGCGATATCAAGCTTTTTGGGGTTGGGCAAGAGACCGCCAGCTTGAGGTATTCGGTTTCACTTTCGGCCGGCTCTAGAACCACGTTAACCACCTTAACCATGTTAACCAGGCGGCGGCGACTTCGGCTTGTTGATATTTTCGCAATTCTCTTGGAACCGAAATAAAAAAAAGAGAGGGAAACAAGTTTGTCCATTTGCTTTTGTCTGCAAACATTTGATTACTGGCTGAGAGCAGAGCTACCACAAATGGTGATGATGATGATGATGGCGGGAATGGAAACAGCCCAGCCGGCTTAGAGCCTTAGAAGTCTAAGAGCGAGAAGAGCCTGAGATCCAGAGATCAACCACTTGGCATTTGGTTTGCATATATTATGCAAGATTTTCGCAACTCCCAGAGTCGAGAGAATTCCACACATATTGGATACTCAACGAGACTAATGAAGGGGGAAGATCCGTGTTAATTAATGTTTGAACAGCTCTAATGAGCTAAACACATTCTGTCATTTATGCAACTTGGGTCAATTATTACTAAAGATTTCTATGCTATTGCTAATGAGGTCTCTTCGGGTGGTTTTTGTGATAAATATTAAGGCACTTTCAGTTTCTAAATACCAGAGCTACAGAAATCAGAATCAAATTTAATAGCCACTGTATGTAAATTCGAAATCAAAATATGAAAACCTAAAATACAACCTTCAAATTTAATAATTTTCCACTCTTGTAAGCTGTAATTATCAAATGCATCTTTAATTAACTTGTTTGATTTCTTAATTTCCGTTACAAAATAAAATAACCATTAATCATTTTCAAATGGCAAAGACCTTAGAAAACATTCCACTAAACGCAAGTCAATCAAATCAAAATCAGTTCATCCGAGATCAATCCGATTATGTGACCCTCAGCTTCTTACAAAGGTCAGATCATTGGACCTTGACAATCACCAGAAAATCAGAAGACAGACGACAAATGAGCGACAAATGCCGAGGGACCAATAAACCCAGCTGAATGGACTTTATGCTGACTCGGCAGGTTTTTGTCTTGGGGAAATATTTTAGCCAGACAAACAAATTCTGAAATGACATGGCTAAAATTTGGAACTTGCCCGCAAAATTTACATTTGTCTGAATAAAAGTCTCGAAAAATTTCCGTGATCTCGCGGCAAATCTTTCTCTTTCATTCTTAACCACTAAATTCGATTTCAATTTGCATATTTGTGTCTTTTTATGCCATGCCATAACATGAAAAGAAATCGCAGCCCGCATTATGTTGATTATCGTATTATGTATAAATTATAATTGCGCGTTTCCTGTCCTTGTTGTTTAAGTTGAGCTGAGAAAAGAGCACATTGCATGTTAAATTATGTGACAAAATGTCTGTCAACGAGCTGGCAGCAGCAACATGGAAATAAAAGGGCCAAAAGCAACTCATCATCATTGTTGTCAGCAACATCAACCTGGCCAAGACACCGGTAACAAGTTTCCTTTGATTAATTTTTGTATAATTTATGATATCATTTCTTTTTCATTCAAAAAGAAATGACGGGAATATGTTGTTTGGAAGGCACCGAAAGAAAATATACCCTTGGGGTTTTCAATAAATTTTTGTAAACACTTTTTCTGAAATCAGAGAATCTTAGAGAGAGAAAATTCGGCAAAATGATATTATGCAATATCAATTTTACCAGTATTGCATAGTAACAACGATATGCGTTTAAATACCATAAATGTACCACGCGCGTATCGTTTGGATCCCAGCGTATTTTTTGATGTGTGTAAAAGCAAATTGAGAAGACGAATAAGTTGAGTTTATAAATTTAATTTCATTCTAATCTTTTTCGTATCTTTAAATCATTTGGACATTTAAATAATATATGGTTTAATTCCAAAAATAAAAGAATAGTGTCTCCCGATTTGAGAGTATAAAAAAAGACACAAAGTTGCGACAGATTCATTGTTAATGTCAAAATAATTGGACACGCTTGCCGGACAGGGCTCGGAGCCCCGGTTCAGACTCAGGTGCAAAAGCCAGCCCAGGAGACCAGGTGCCCTAAGCGGATGGGGCGAATCGCTGGCAGCAAGTTCGCGTGTGGCATGAAAATTTATGGGATGCCCCCGCGTGCAACGCAGAAAGTGCTACTGTGCAACATGTTAAATATTTAGTTCGTCGCCTCAGTCTTTTGTTTCGCCTTTCCCTTTCAAGCGCTTTTTCTCCCGGCCGCAAGGGAGGCGCGATGGTCATAAATTTTGACAGCTTATTGACACTAAACGGACACCAAAAGCGATTTTATTTTTTTGCAAATTTTCGACTACCTACATGTATCAATTAAGTGCGGGGCAATTGAGGTGAACTACTCGCCTCGCCCACTGCCGCCCTCAATGGTTTTTCAAGGCGGCAAATTGCGGTCTATTAACACGCAGATGCCAAGTGGCAAAAGTTGTTTACAATTTTACACTTTGTTTGGGCTTCCTTTTGAGTATTGTGTAAACTTTGAATTTGTCTCTATTTGCATACGCGTGACTCGGATCAGTTTTGGTGTGCATATATAGGAAATGAATGAGACGAGAAAACAAAAGACTTGAACAACAAACTCATTTGCATAGCGTGGGGCAAGAGAAAGAAAGAAATTTTATGGTTTTATTTTTGCAGAATGGACATCTTTTTATTGACATTTTTTTGTAGAATATATTAATATTTATTTATGCAACTAGTTTTCTAAGAACTTTTTGAGATTTTTTAGTCGATTATAATCAGAATATTTTATTTCTGAATTTTAATTATAACAATGTAAAAATGTCTTACATTTAAATAAAGTTAGGAATTTATTTATTCAATATTCAATTCTTGGCCTCAAATAAAATGTCACATAGGAATCTTAAAATGGGAAGGCACCCAATTCAAAATAAAACGTAAACAATTCCCTCACTCCTATGCCACATTCAATGAACTACATCAGACATAAATATTCTATGGATCCCTTGCCAAATTGATATTTAATTACCTCTTGGTGAAAATTAAATATAGCCTTCCTCTAATTAAATTCAATTTTCTGTCGCTTCCAGGATCTTTACTACATAGCCTTCGGCTATCCCGAAAAGGAGCTCAACACAGACGTTGCTTTGATCACAGGTGGTGGCAATGGACTTGGTCGTCTGCTCGCCGAGAGACTGGGAAAGATGGGAACCAAGGTCATTATCTGGGATATCAACAAGAAGGGTGAGTTCCCAGATCATGCGACACTCATGAGGGTTATCAAATAATTTTATTATAAACCTTTGCTTGCAGGCATTGCGGAAACCGTCGAAATTGTCGAGGAGGCGGGCGGCTTCTGCAAGGGATATGTTGTGGATATCTCGAAAAAAGAGGAGGTCTATAAGGCGGCCGATGTAATCAGGGAGGATGTTGGTGATGTAAGTAAACAGATGATATATTTATTAACGATTAGTCGAAAGCCTCTATTGGAATAAGCAATATATATATTCAATTTTCAAATTAATTTCTAATTTCATAAAGGTTGAAATATTTTAATATTTTTCAACATTATATTAAGAGTTATAACATAGCAATATTTATATAACCTAACTTACAATTGCAAACCCTATTCGAACTACGAAAAATAGTGGAATACTTTTCCGTGGTTCTCAATCCAAGGGGGGAAAGGCGGAAAGTGCGTGCGGGAATTGAAGCATAAAAGTCCAGTAATTGCTGTTTACAGTCGAGCGCCTAATGTGGCATCAGACTAGTCGTCATATAATTGTTTGTTGAGGGGCGTTTAATGGCTTTTATGCTGGCCAGAACCCTGCCTTCTTCTTGAGAGCGCGGAACACATGTAAGCCGGCACCATCCAAGACTTGCTACAGTGGCTGCCACACCCCGTAGCAACACATTTATGCATATTCATGTCATAAATTTAAACCGAAGCCAAAGCCAGGGCGGAGAGAAAAAAATTTGTATGCATGAGCGCATCGTCATCGTTGCGGCAACCTTGAGAAATTGTTGCACATTACACAAACGGCAGGAAAAAAATGCAGAAGCCAAGTCCAATCCGGTCTTCTGCAAACTGGTTGCCACTTCGCATTCGATCTGTTCATTTATCACAATCTGGGGCAGTTTCCAGGCATTGCAGCAATGCAAGAGATATTCCAAAATGTCCACACATTTTCGGTTAAGCTTAAGTGAATTTTCACAATTTTAATCAATTTACTTGCTAAATATAGAGATTTTTTTCGATTCGTTTTGTTCTTTCAATTAGAACTTTATTCATGTTATACAAACATGAGCCTTGCTAATGAGTTGGTGGGTAGTCAAGGTTGAGGTAGTCCGTTAATTATAGGAGGAGTAATTAGTTATTACTCGAAAAACAATTTTGGAAACATGGAAATCAAGCCCAGTTTTTATGTACAATATTTTTGTTGTCTTAAGACACTTTTTTTTTGACTTTTAGAAACTATCTGCAACTTTGTATAAATCGTAAGAATATCTAGTAAATTTCGATGTGAAGAATCTACAAATTTATCATAATTTAAATTTGCTGAAATTATTTCTAAAGAGTGTAGGTTTTTTGTTATTTTTCACAACCTTATTTAAATAAAAATTCTTTATTATACTCTTACTCGCCGACTCCAAAGTTTACCATTTATACAATTTAACATCAGTTAATTGCTTTAAAATTGTTGCCGCAAGCATCTAATGCCATCATTAAGATATTTTTCATGCATGGCCAGGTCAATTTCCAAAGTTTACTGAACTGCCAAAAACCCCCAATTATTTGCTGAAATTATAACTTCAGTTGAAAAACGATGGAAAAGTGGATAAAATTATGACAGAAATTCAAGCATAAAAAAGCAGGCAACAAGAACCAAAGAAAAATGTTAAAAAAGGAGAAAAAACTAATAAAGCCATCATTTTGAAAGAGTTATATAATGACAGCGGCAGCATCGTTGAACCTGAAAGTCACAAAAAATAAATAGAGATAAAAAGCAGTGGCTACAAAAAACAAAACAAAATTTAACTGCTTAGTAAGTCATGCGTTATGCAGATGACGCGTTGCTTTTTCGCTGTCTTTTTTTAGGTTCCAATTCTGTTGTTGTTTTTCTTCTCTCAGCTTTACTATGGCTCGAAGCCCTCTGAAATATTACATTTAATATTTTTTAATGGCCTGGCAATGTTGTTGTTTGGTTTTAATGGTTCGCCGCTGTTGTTTTTGCTTAATGCACGCCTCGTTAAATGTTTTTGCCCGGTTACAGCGGGGCAAATTCGAAATCGCTCATACGCAATGTATGACCTGCCCCTGCCCCACACACCAATTGCACTTGAACTCGCCCTCAAATCGGATCATTGTTGTGCACTTGTTGTTAACTTATTTAACCACCAGCTGTAATCGGATAGGTTTCAGGGGGACAAAGTGAGCGAGCTGTTGTTATTTTGGTTTTTCAAGCATCTTACATTATTCGCATTTAGACCTTGACATGCCCGACATTATGGTTGGCTGCCATTTGAAGGATTTCACTTTTTGGTAAATACTTCAAGGAAAACTTAGATTTAAATCAAATTTAAAGTCCAAAAGTAAATTCTTACAAAACTTTTTAAAATATAAAATATCAAAATAAAACTAGGAAACCTAAAGATAAAATTACTTACCACTAACCGATCGTAAATCAATAAGCTTATGAAAAGACCGAACCGAAAGACTTAGGGAAGCCCACACCTTTTCGATATTTTACCCGATAGTAAAACAAGTCGAGAATAAACATATATTTTTGGCATTTTGGTGTTAGTGGCACGACAAGAAGTTTCGCAATCTGCAAGTAGCAGGCAACATTTTTGGCAATACCATTTAAATTAATTTGGTTTTTTTTGGGAACCAGTTAATTTTTTTCTTAAGTTTTGATCTTTTTTATAAAATGTGTAGTTTTGATATTATCTATTCCTTTTATTTATAAATATTAAATTTTGTTTTAAACTTCCCTTATTTGCGTTAGTTTATATTTTAAGCTTCGTTTAATACAAATAACAAGCTCGTGGAACCTCTTGAATTGCTAAGATGTGTAAAATAATAAATTAAATTAACATTTTTAATTTAATAGATAATATTTCCAGAATTTCTAGAATACATCATTTACATGCCGCTACATAATTGCATTCCTTCCTCAACTAAAATTTGACACTTTTTTGGGTACATTGCAGGTCACTCTACTGATCAACAATGCGGGCGTTGTATCTGGACTGCACCTTTTGGACACACCTGACCATCTGATCGAGCGGTCGTTCAATGTGAATGTCATGGCACACTTTTGGGTAAGACCATAAACATATAACCACTTTGTGGCCAGAATGTGGATGCTAATGCCAGTGTTTCAATGTTGCAGACGACAAAAGCGTTTCTGCCCAAAATGATTGAGAATGATCGAGGACACATTGCCACGATCGCCTCGCTGGCCGGCCATGTGGGCATTAGCAAATTGGTCGATTACTGCGCAAGTAAATTCGCAGCGGTGAGTTTGCTTTATTTCTACCCTCGCCTTTCCCCTCCTTGAGTTATCGATAATTACAGGTTGGCTTTGATGAGGCTTTGAGGCTGGAGCTGGAAGTCCTTGGACATACGAACATCCAAACCACCTGCATCTGCCCCTTCTTCATCCAGGCCACTGGCATGTTCGACGACGTGAATGCCAGGTGAGTGCCAGCCATCCGACCGCTTCTCTCTTGCCCGTTCCACGAGAACTGACATTTTGACTTGGTAAATGATTGCAGATGGGTCCCCACACTGAATCCGAACGATGTGGCCGATCGTGTCATTGCGGCCATCAGGAAGAACGAGAAGCTGGCCGTCATACCCGGCTTCCTCAAGATCCTCCTCTCCTTCAAGTGGTAAGTAAACAAATGGACTTTCGCCCCAGCCTAATAATGATAATTTGCCGCACTTAATTAGGCGCCATAATGGTTGTAAGGGGCTTGTAGGCCCCTAATGGGAAATGCTTGACTTGAATATTTTAATTTCAGTTTATTTAATGGCATTGTTCCCTGTCGAGGGGAAAATTAATCATATGTGTTAGTGGGAAAGGGTTGCAGGTGTTGTAGCTAATTCTGGTTTAATTATTATTTTGTTCGGAAAAATCAAAAATAATGAATATAATTATTTTTGCTAAATCTTTTTTTAATATATCTGATTTTTTCCATCTCTTTATCTTTCAATATTTGAAGTATATTTAGTAAAAATTAGATCTTTAGATTAAATTTCCGTTTTTAAATCAAAAAAATTAAAGTCAGAGAAACTTTATTATTTGTTTGTCTCATGGGTAACATTAAGAAGTTCAATGTTTGAAATAAACTTTAATGTGTACGTACATTTTGTGGCACTGCCAATAAAAGGTAGAAAATCTACGTTTTTAAAAGCATGACCGCATCTTATCTACCCCATCAAATATGATAAAACGTCTTGGACTTCTTGAAGTCTAAGCCGGCATGACCTCGAGTTTGCTAAAAACTTCTATAAAACGCAAACCTATGCGGATAATGCTCACTCATCGAGTACACAGTCAAAATAAATGTAAACTTATTTCTGCACATAATTTTAAACTAAAATATTCACATTTAAGGAATTGACTTACGTAATGTAAATATATTTTACCAAAATTATAATAGAATACGAAGTATTAAAAGACGTTTATTAAATACATTTTAATCTCCAATGAAACATTGTTATATTTTAAGAATATTTTCTGTAATAAAAGATAGCTCTTAGCTTGTAGATCTTAAGTGTAGCTAACCCCACCCTAAATCATAGCGAACCCCCTCGGCCACATTACCATGCCTAATGGTCTCGCTTTAATGTGTTTCTCTTAAATAATGCATAATATTTACCTTTGCCTTGGCCCACCTTTTGCTCACCCACTCTGCTTTCTGCTTGTATTTTTCCAGGACCTTCCCCTGGGGCTGTGTGGGTGGCTTGCTGAAGCGCCTGGTGCCCGACGCCTCCCCCCACGGTCTGCCCAGCTCCATAGCCGCCCCAGTACCGCCGAAGTCCAATGGCAAGTCGACGGCGGCCGATATTGCCGCTCTCGATGCCGAGCTAAGTAGCGTTACCCTGCCGGCGAAGCCACCCTCGATGCTCATCCAAAGGACACCGTCGCTGGGGGAGCGTGTCCTTTGAGCGCCCAACGAACTCCATACCGCACCACACCACCCACTCCTGTTGTTATTTCCACATTATACTTTTTTTCGAACGCTGTGTGCATTTTATGAGCGTGGAGTTACGAGCATGTGTAATTGAATTTCGTGTTTTTGGCATTTTTCGCTGCGAGGAACCATTTACTAAATCTAAGCTACAAATCTAGTGATATTACATTTAGTTAAAGTAGATTGAACGGGGAAAGCGTTTAGCCTTAATTAATCGAATTGTATTTTTGTAATGCCTCTTAAGTGTACGTTTTTATGTTAGGATCAAATTTTGCATTTCCGATTTGCCAGTAGTCATCACTTAATTTAAAGTATCCCCCCTCCCAGCCTGTTTAACATAAACAAAGTCTTAAGCCATTATTTTTCTACTAATCAAAACTTTTGCTCAAAGGAATTGTCCAATTGTCCAAAACTGAAAACTAACTTTGTTAAAAACATATTTTTAGCTATAAGAAATTCTTAGTTTATTTAGCTTAGATATTATTTAGGAATTATTGAACAAATTCATTCAGTTTTATGTATAAAAAAAACAAATTTATGTTCAAAATATATTATATGAAAACAATGAAACTTAAAAACGTGTTATTTGTTCTGGCTTTAAAATTAAACTAGGATTTTTCTAGTTTTTGGCCATAGTCGTAAAAAAATACTACAAATTATAATTATTAGTCTTAACACAGTACTAAAATATAAGTTAAAGAACTAAATTTAGATTAACTAGCAAAGGGATTCTCATCATATTTCACACTCAGTGCCTTGGGGACTTCGTATCTTCCCACGGGATCCCGATAAATTGGATTTTCCTGAAGCAACCTGCTTTTTTGATCTTCCTCGAACCTTGCATATTCCCTGGCATCCTTAGCTCGAATGCACCAAAAGATTAGGAACATGCTAGCAAGTCCGATGAGCAGGGTGAATGCCGATATATAACCAACCAGGGCCACATAATCTGGGGGATCGCATTCACCGTCTTTGATAATCAAGAAATTTGTGTGGTCGATGACCTGATAGGCAAAGAAGCTATCGCACTGGATGCCATGTTTGTTCACCATTCGCACCAAGCAAAGATCCTGATCGAGATCCAAGTCGCTAACAAAACGGTGTCTATGCATGTCCTGTCTATCAGAACTGCTGCATATTTCAGTCAAGTTATCACAGGTGCCCATTCCCTGTTTTTGTTGAATAAGGCAGGTAACACAGGGCTCATAGAACAGACAGAGTTTGTTATCCTTCTCCGGATCGACTTCGCAGAATTTCCCAAGATAGGGCTCGTCGCACTGGCATTCTTCGCACTCACAGTAGCCTCTCTGGGAGCAAATTTCGGCCGTGGGTCCCACACAGGCATCAGTTTTTCCCTCGCAATTGCATCCGTTCTCCGACCATCCGTATTTGCAAACACACTGGCCACAGAAGCAATCTGCTAGCTTTTCATCGCAATCCAAGCACTCGCGACACTCGCAAAAAGGACCTGTATATCCAGTATCGCATAGGCAACTTCCGCAATCGCAATCGCCGTGATTGGAGCAAACCAATTGGGAAGTTGTTGTATCCGACAATGGTTGACGGCATTTCTGGAGCAGAAATTCATTGCTAGTGACATTGGTGGCATCCGTGGGACAGGTGCAAAAGGTTCCAGTCCATCCCTTGTCGCACTGGCACATTCCGCAGTACAAATAGCCCTGGTTCTGGCACTGGAACCGTCCGTCCTCGTTGGTCGGATCCGGGATTTCCTGGCAAGGACAAGGGCGCTGCAGCTCAACATCCAAGTCCATGTACTCGCTCAAAGAGGTTTCTTCTACACGGATTTGGTAGTTCTGAAAAATAAATAATATGAAATTAATACATGTTATCTTGCGGTATACCCTATCCCTATTTAATCTAGATCCAATAATTAAAAAAAGGTTTTAAAGTACAAAATAAAAATTGCAGATGAAAATTAATGGATTTTCTTATTTACTTTGACACTTACGTAATTTTTATTATCTGGATATTTTTTGAGCGTGACGTCCACATAGAAATCAATCTGCTTGCCTAGGCTGACATTATTGCAGAAATTCCGTTTTTGCAAACTGGGAAACTGGCCACCACAATCCGTATAGTAGACCATCTCTATAAAGTCCGGGCTATTATCGGCGAACTGAGTGCGTTTTATAAGGCTCTCATAACTGAAAATAAACAGCGAAAGAGTAAATTTAATTAATAAGTAAAATATAGTGAGCTGTAGACTGAAACTAACCTCTTTTTAATTAGTTCCAAGATATTAGAGGAATCAGCCCTCAGCCGGTCCACATAAGTTATTTCGTTCATCAAGGCACTGAGCTCCCTGTAACTGTGTTCAACCTCCTTCGTAACAGCAAAGATCACATTGATCTTGCGCCGAAGTAATTCCCTATAGATTTCCTCTAGCGAAGGGTAATCGAAGTCCAAAGAGGCCGTATACTCACCATCTGCATTAAGATGGCATTGCTTATCATTGGGCTGGGTAATACCAGCTAGCAGACCTTCGCCAGCTAGATGCATAAATCCATCGGTTACTAGGATCACCACCTTTCGAGCTTGTTGCTTCCAACCGATTTCATTTGTGCACACTATGACCTGCATTAAGGCATCCAAACCACCCTCCAGATTATCCAAATTTCCTGTGATTTTACTATTTTTGACAGCCGAGGTAAAATTAGGAATAACATCGGTTAGCGATAACTGATGTCTATATCCATAAGTTGGTTCACATATAGACCGCTCGGCAGCACATGGATTTTCCTTATGCTGCGGGAGAATCATTGGAAAAATTGGCTTATCCGCAAAGGAACCAAATCCCAGCCGGTAGTTGGCTGTTAAATTTTTTAGGGTCTGACTGAGTTGAGCTCCCAACTCCTCCAGAGTTTCCTTGTCGTCCCTCATTGTCCAGGTGAGGTCCATCAACACGTACAAATCGAGTGGATTGTTGCGTGCTGTTCTATAGCTCAGCTTGATTTGTTGCGTGTTTCCTGTGGGACAAAAAAAAGGGGGGTATAAAGTTATAGATCGGTTTACTATGTACCCGTTAAGGGCTACCTTGTTTATGAGCTGTTTTATGGGCTGACACATCTACATAAACGGAAACCAGTCTGGTCTGGATTCCACACCCATTCAATTTTTGCAGAGAGGGAAAAACTATATAAATTAAGTCTTAGGACTAACAATATGTATCAAATAGGAAATATAATGAAAAAGGCAACTTAAATCTAATGTCTAGAACCTTCTAAAAGGATTTATTTACTTGATAAAATTAGCGAGATATATCTCCTTAATTTTGTTAAGATTTTTTCCTCAGTGCAGACTGCTACTGTTTGAAACCATTCATTACCACTTGAGCCCGTTCACACCCAGGCTAAATGTATTGTTTCCTTGTAATCCTTAAGACTGCAATTTAACCTGCTTCTTTACACCACTTTTTGACCTTAATTATTGGGTTTCAGTACCTCATAAGCTGTCTGCGATCTTAACTTAAGCGATGTAAATGGTTATGAAATTGGTTAATAAGCCGTCTGAGCATGGAAATTATTGACAGACTTCAAAATGAGTTTCGATTAGGATATAACTCAATACTTTACCAATTGAGATAAATGTATCTATATTATGCGTACTGAGGAATTAACATGTCAATAAACCTCACCTTATACATTCACGTTTTTTCTTTTGATTTTGAAGTTGTCAACAATTTACAGATTCCATTACTCTCACGATTACTCACGATTGGCGAATGTATTTGGTTATGTTGATAAGAAAAAATCCGTTGAGCATTTCCTGCTCGAAATTCCTGATTTACCCCTTATTCGTAGAGTAAATGGCTATATTATATTTTTTGAAAAGTAATTTAAAGGAATGGTTTCCGACCATAGAAAGTGTATATATTCTGCACAAGGATCACTATAAGAGTCGATCTCACAAAAATATAAGAGCTAGAGAAGTGAGACTTTACTCGAAGATTTCTTAACTTCTGATCCAGCTCAATACCGATGTGTCTCAAACCCCTAAAACGCCAAATTTTGCCTGGCGCCCACATTTTCGAATTAAATGGTTTAAATTGGACTATTAATTAATTAGTTCTATTGGTTAGAAATAGAAATAAACGGGTATTTAATAGTCGAGTGACTCGACTCTATAGTGTTCTCTTTTTGTTTTCCACTACAATTGACTGTTCTCCTGAGTATAATATTTATTATCGCTCAAAAAACGTGATTCATTCGAAATTTGAAAGCATTTGCACGTCGAAATAAACCCGAGTGCAAACAGAAAGTCTGCTAATCCTGGAATCCAGGTATCATTCTCCTTATAAAGTGGGTTCAGTGAACCTATGGATCGACAAGGAGGGAGGAAAAGAAAGGGAGGGATAGAGAGGTATTCCCACGCCAAATACAATAACAATAATGGCTAGAAGATGTGACAACCACAAAATGCTGATAAGCGAACCGCGGACACAAAACAAAATGTTCGAAAATGATTTGGTACAAATCAGCAAAGCAAACACGAAGCAGGGGAAGAGAAATGGAAGAGTGACACACTTGCTAGAGAAACAAAATATAACGTGTTAGAGAGAGAGGGCTATCCACATAGTGACACACATTTGATAAGATAACAAAATAATATAATGAACGCAACACACCTTTGACCAACTTTAGTTTTGCTCGTTGGGGAGTCACTTGAACTGCCTGATCACTTGTTTCGTAGTCCTTTAAGGGTTTACTCTGCAGGACATCTAAAACCGGCTGGTTCTCGTATATATCCGACTCATTGCAATTGTACTTCACGAGTTGCGAGCGAGAGAGACAGCGATACCCCACTTGATATTCCTGGCAGAAAAAAAGATAGGATATTATTCAAGATCGCAAGTATCATAACAGAGGACAGATTTTTAGCACCAGGCTTAAATTAAATAATACTGAAGATCGTGAGGATATTTTAAGTTCCATTAAAAAAAAAAAATACAAGAAAAATTTAAATTTCAACTGTTTTCTAGCAAAATTAAAAAAAAAAACTTGTTATCTTATAACATAACACGAAGAATTTTTATTTATTTATTTTGGAGCGTTCTTGATATTTTTTCCTTCTTTTTGGGATTTTTGTTTGATACTACTGCCATTCTATCAGAAATTTACCTTGTCCGTGCACCAGGCGCATTCCAGGTGCGCGGATAAACACCTTTCACAGCTGTCCGCGTGCATGCATTGCTCATCTGGGTTAGGGAGATGGCGATAAATAGAGCGTTACGTAACGGTAAAGTTAATCGGCTAACAAACCAATGGAAGCTGCCTCCGAATAAGATGTCCCCCAAATTAGCGAGAGGAATATAAACCACAAAATCACTTTAACGACCAGTGACGTCATTCTCACATAACATGTGTAATTTTTCCGATCACTTTATTAAATATTTTTTTTGGGAGCAAGCAACCGTTCGGTTTTAAAAGTCCAGCGCAACTAATATTTGCTCAGTACGAAAAGCGTTGATTTGCTCCGCTCGTTGAATTTTTTTATAAGCGTTATCTTATCGGGTGAGCGTGGTAAAAAATATGTGTGAAGTTTTTGAGGAAGCATTTTGATTAGAAAAAATTACCCTATCAAAGAGAGCGGTCTAGTTATTACGAAGGGAGAAATGACAACAAATGAAGGCAAATCACTTTCACTTGTTGTCTTAGTCATTTCCACAATAAACAATATAGTTTTTCTCGTAATGAATCACTGTATACACACAAAAAAACTATTGAATAGTATTCATGTTTATTGATGTTTTATTCCTTTGTTTTATTTTTCTTCTGTACTTCGTTGCTTTAAATTTTAAATTTAATATTACAATTTTAAATGGTAGATCAACTTTTTTTCTGGACTTAGAATGGTCAGAGTGTCTGCCAAATAATATCTGGGATGTGAGTTCAAATCCGGCTTTTGCAGAAGATGTTTTTCTTTTTTGTTTGAACGTTGAAGTTAAACCTATTGGTTTTCATCCTCAAAAAATATCCTACTGGTTAGAGTGCTTGACACCTTTGATTGCGGTCCGGTTCAATTACCACACTCAAAATAAATTTAACCCTAAATTTTAGAAAATCGCCATTAAAATTTCTTTTTTCTAAATACAAGAAAGTTATTTCTAAATCTTAGGAAATTTTTCTTAAGTCAAGAAAGTTTTCCTTAAATCCAGGAAGTTTTTCTTAAATGTAGAAAATGGTTACCATGAACTAAAATCACCCTAAAATCTAGAAAAAATGCCCTTAAAATTAGAAATTATTTTCTGAAAAATAGAAAGGCAAACGAAAATAATAAAATATTTTGGCAACACCTTTTCTAAAAATGAGTGCCCTAACCCTAAAATTAAGCTAACCCTAAATAATAGAAACATTTCCTAAAAAGTAGAAAGTTTTTCTAAAATATAGAAATAGTTGTTTTCACATGCTCTGGCACACCAAAATGTTCAATGCCAGAACTTGTCAGCTGCCGGCCGGCTGTACTCGTGGCGCAGACCGTTAAAGCACTTGGTTAGCAATCGAATCGACGCGGGTTCGAGTCCCAGAGCAAAATTTTTTAAACTTTTTTTTTAATGTTATTTTATTTTTTTTTTATTTATTTTATTTTATTTTTATTTATTTTTTACTTTTTTTTTATTCCTTTTTTTATTGATGGCAAGCAGTAAACTAAAAATAATTAGGTTTATATTCAGCTATTTTCTATATACTACACATAATATAAATTGCGTTAGCATAAATATATACATATGTATATACGTATGTAAATAAGTAAAACGCGAATGGTCAAAATTATGCAATTAGTATTCAAATGTGTTGTCCGCTTCACCCTTTACATACAATGCTCGGTTTGCCACAGCAAGTTTAAGTGCTACAATGGCCCAGTATGTAGGCCATTCGCTCCTCGCGCGGGAGACCCGGGTTCGATTCTCACGACGGACAAGTAAAAATTGTAAGTTTTTTTCATGAACATAAAATATTAACTAATCATAATTTCTACATTCCCAATCTTCCGCAGTCCCGTAGTCCACATTTACAACCACATTTGGCTTTGGTTAGATAAGAAATCCAAGCGCAAATACATAATAATAATAAATACATAACCTTTAACATTCACAATATACAAGACACACAACGCCTGCATATGTATATAGGGAGGAGTACATAATGCAAACGTATATACAAAAAAAATCATGATTGAACATGTTTTTTTGTTTTGTTTTTAATTTCTATTTTTTAGGAAAATTTCCTACTTTTTAGAAATTTTTGCCCTTAAATTTAGTAAAATTACCCTAAAATTTAGAAATATTACGTCAAAAAAAATCAAAAATATAGAAAAATGTGACCCTAAAATTTAGGGCGAGCTTGTCTTGAAGACAAAAGTAGGGCGATTTCCTTGACTTTAGGGTTAATTTTATTTTGAGTGCAGCGTAGGAAGAAACGCAGATTAGTTAGTTTAACTAATTGTTTAATGTATGTGTCTATAAATAACTCTCTATAAATTAATATAATAAACTAAAATAGAAACAAAAAATTAAAAGGAACTGAATTTTAAATAACAATAACTTAAATTGTTGAAATTAATATTTTTCCGGTAATCTACCACTATTTAGAAAACTACTATTTTATAGGAAAACTAATATTTTATAGGTAAACTACTATTTTTAATTTTATATTTTTATGGGTTAGGGCGGCTTTTACTATTAAATAGTGGATTTTACATAGTTTTTTTGTGTGTATCATGTTGTAATGTAACGGTTGAATATATTCGCATTGCTTACAAAACTAAAATATTAATTTGTTAAATATTTGAAATTATTGAACATTTAATTAACAAAATGGTTTGTATAACTAGCATGCGTTAAATTGTAACCGCTTTTTATGTATTGCTACTCTTTATTTTTTATGAATAAAAATTGAAACATTTTCGAATTGTTCTTAGCAGTTTCAATTATCTTTCAAACATTTTTAATTGATTCGCTCCGTTTTTCAGAATTATCACAATTTTTAAATTTATAATTTGTAATGCTGACTTTAGTTTCGTAGCCATCAGAGATTGAGAGACAGCGAAAATACTGAAACTTCACTGATAACGATCGCTCCAAAGATTGCGAACAGAACAAAGAACATTTTAAAGTGAATGAATCATGTTAAGAGTTCAGCTATAGTTTATAAATAAGAAATCATTAATAAATATTTAATTTTAAAACCGGAATTTCAACGGTGGCTTTTTGGTGACGGGTCACACTACCCGGCTTACTTCTGCAAAAACTGGTTTGGTGAGCGCTCTCCCCCTCTCACCGGTTGGTATATTAATAGTAGACAATGCTCGGTCACACTACGCGCTCTCCGCAAACCGCCCCCACACCACCGTTATTACCCTCGGCGCTCCGTATAGTTGTTCTTGTATCTGGAGAGTTTGAGAGAGCAGAGAGCGCCGGAGTATGACCTTCTTGTGCGCCGGCAAGAATACAGAACCGAACAAAAATGCACTAAAACACTGAAACAAACGTGAAAAAAAACGGCGAGTCGGCGAAAAAAATTTGAATCGACGGGTTGTGTAGCGGACGATTTTCACTTGGAGCGGAGCGCGGAGTCTCGCGTTTTTGTGTTTTAGCGGAAAATCGGATGAAAAACTCCAAATGTTTACCAAATGAGCGGCGACAGCTACGCGACCAATTGACGAGATCGTGTGTGTTTTATCCAATTAAACGGTGAGTGTGCGGTAGAGATGGAGTTGTAAAGTCAAATCAAAGTGCGGCAAAAAAGTCTTAAGGTGAAAAAGTCATTAATAAAAAAGCAAAATAGAATTGCTGTGTGGAGTACAAAAAAAATACGTACATATATATAAGGAGACGACGCGCAGCGAAAAAGGAATTTTTTGTGTACTACGGCGGCGCTTTGTTGTTGTTGCTGGCGTCGTGCAGTTGATTTTGTTTTGTGTGTTTGTATGTTGTTGCTGCTTTTGCTTTTGCGTTTTCCCCGTGTTTTTGTGATTGGAAAAGTAGGAAAAGAAAGCAGGAAAACTGAGGAGGGAAAATAAAAACGAAACAAAATAAGGAAAATTGCCCATTTTCCGATTTTTTCTGGCTGAGAAAAGTGAAAAGTTTAATTTACTAAACAAAGCGGCAAAACTGTGTGTGTCCGTGTGGGTGGCTGAGCCGCCGTGTGTATGTGCGTGTGTCTCTCTAGTTTTTGCAATTCCCACTGCACACGCTCTTTCGTGTTGGATTATTGGATTATACCGCCAATAACGGCACACGCACAGCGACAACAACAATAATAAAAACAACAAAAAGCTATAAAGGAGAGCAGACGACGCTGGGATTAATCATTAATGTCCTGAGAGATAAGGAACGGGAATCTAGAAGGACCAGCAGGCCAAAGTGCAGAAGAGGAAGCAGCAGACGAACAAGAAGAAGACGCAAAAGGTAAGTCAAAGTTTCAAAATTCCCCTTCCATTATTCACTATGGGTTTCTTATATTTATTTGGATTTCTTTTCGTTTTCAAAATTTACTAAAGTTGGTAAGAAAACAAAATACATCTTCAAATTCGATCTAAAAAGCCGACTTTAACAAAGCAATTTCGGTTGTTAAATTTGTCAGCTTATTTCTTTTCTATCGTTTTAAATGAAATAATATCCCTTCATTTAACTTTTACATCATTTCAACTTAAAACAAAATATTTTACAATTTAAATACAACCTGATTACCCGTAGAAAACTAGTTTTATGAACCCTACCTTACAAACAATGGTTAAACAACACTAAATAAGACAACTACATATAATAAAATTCATAAATCAAATATTCAAAACATGCATAATAAATGTGTACATAATTCTAAACTTCCAATTTCCTTGCGGAATTTCCCAATCCAAGAACTCATAATTATTGCAACTTGAATTGAACAGAGTTGTTTCTCATCAATTCGTTTGCTTCACTTGGTCGGGCGCTCATTTTCCAATGAAAATTTATTCTAATGACGCTTTTCGCGATCCTAATCTGCTGCACATAAATTTCTTTGGCAACTTTGGGTGATTTATTGCCTGTCGATTGTCGTCGTAGTCGCAGGCGCTGCTTTTTGGCCAGTCCCAGAGACTCGTAGCGATTCAATCCGATCCGTTCCGTTCCGTTCCGAAAAGCGGACCAGAGTATACAAGACCAGACTGGGCAGGACAGACTGGTGCCAGCTAATGTACGCGTCTCCCAGATGCCGCGGATTAGATAAAAATTCTCAATTTATGCGTTGCGCCAGTTGCCAATTGCAGTCCACCTCCCAAAGCCTCCCCCTCCTCCGTCACCACTCCTCCTCCTTCGAGAAATATAAAAAAAACTTGTCGCGCCTACTAAAATCTTCGCCCCAGGCCCTGAGATGCCTTCATTCCAGTCTTCTCCGCAGTCTATCATTTGAAATCATGTCGCGGCGATAAGAAATTATAGTGGCCCGGTCATAATTTACGTGATTTGCCTGCCTAATGTCCTTCCGCATGACACAAGGACAAAGCGGGAGCCATAAAAATATAGAGGAAGAATTCACATTTGGAGGCTGTTCTAAATGAGAAAGAATTAGGCCAGGAAGTTGGGGGCAAAAAAGATTATTAGTACCAGCAAAATGGATTACAGATGTTTAACTTTGAGAAAGAAATAAGAAAGGAATTTATATGGATTTGAAGACAGATAAAATAATAATCCACAGAAATGACAACTATAAATATATATTATTTTTATTTTTATTAAACTAAACACAAAGAAAATCTTTAGGGGGTTGCCAAACAACAAACTAGGTTCGGTATATTTTTAAATATTTATGCACTCTGGTTTGTATGTCCTAGCCCATAGACAACACAGTGTAGATTATTTTCCAACCCCATAACCTATAGTAGACCCATTATTTTCCCGTAGCCCCTGGCCAGTTTTCCCTGGGGAATGGCAGTCTAGGTACACGCATACTGGAAAATCCGTTTCGTTTTGACATTTATTGTTTTTAATAGTCTCGAGAGCTAGGAAATTTTATGACACATCCTCGAGCGATAAAAATCTTTACTGCCCCGGGGTACATGCATGGTTTATTCGTTCCTCTGTTCAATAAGAACGAAAGGTAAATAAAGTAGGGGATAAAAAGAAAGAGAACTTTGGAATTAGCCGAGGCCACCTCATAAAGTGAAAAGTGTCATAAAAATTAGTCAAGAAATCACGCTGCCCACTCCCCAATTTGTATTTCTTTCGGACGGTTCTTTTCCTTTGGTCTCTTAACATTTCAGTTCCTTACGGTTATTTGGTTGTTTGTTCTGACACATTTGTATGCTAATGAGAGAGCGGGATATGGAGTTTTTGTATGGTTTGGGTTAGGTGCTTCCGGCGGGAGTCTCTTGGTCTTTTTCTTCTGACTGGAATCTATCAGGTTTTTGACGAGGGTTTCGGCCGGGGAATCGCTTTCGGAGGATAATGCATGCAGCTCAGGTCTTGCATATCGAAGTGGCCGCTGATAAAGGATTTGGGAAGTAGTTTAAGCCACTCGGACGGGGTCATAAATTGAATTATAATTCAGGCATACGAAATTCTTTCTGTCTCCCTGAGAGCTTATGTCTAATGTTCCTCGGATTAGGGTCTTAGGGTTGAGTTGTTCTTGTGCCCCCAGAGTGTCTTTTTTGGGGCTTTAAGTACTGAATTTTTGTCGGGTGAATTAACTTGAGTTGAAATCGATAAAACGGAGAAATAAAAAATATGAATGATGAAGTCTTTTTCCAGGAATGGATTTAATATTAATACTCCGACGTGCTGGGTTAAATATTGGGAATGGAGCAGTATATTTAGGGTCCATGTCTAAAACAATAATATTTCGTATCTACTTAAGTGCCGCAAAAACTACAATAAAATGGAATACTTTTTCCAACCACTTGAACAACCCTTTGATTGCCTCTCCTCAAAGGCTTTCTATTTCCGATTACCTATCCCAGATTTCCCATTTGGCTGCGTATTTTCCCTTGAATCGCTTTGGTTATCTATAAATAACATTTTGCTTGCCTTTCTTATCAACTTCCGCTACTTAATGTCTCCCCAACCAAATTGCAGCTAAACTCTTAGTTTTTCCCTCTCCCTCTTTCTTTTCTCGCCCGCCGCCCATCTCTTTCACTCTAGCTTGTCTCTTTCTAGCAAATTGCCTTCTTTAGCTGTCTTATCCCAAAATGTGTGTGTGAGTTTGGGTGTGTAACAAAGATATCAATGGCAAAGAAAAAAAAGAAATTAGGGAGTGGGAGGACAACCTTGAACCTTGAACCAAGGAAAAAAATCAGGCAGGGCTCATTTCCGTTGCGGGTCAAACAAAGACAAATAGACGCGGCTAGAAGGAGATAGCTAGAGATAATACCACAAATCTAAAATCCACAAATGCCACAAAAAGTCAATAAATGTGCGCCTTTGCTAAAAATTATCAACAGCTCGTTAGCAGCCACAAAAGAAATGAAAAGAGATGGGTATAGAAAAAATATATCTAAAAAGCTATAGGAAAAGACAAAGACTGTAGCCAGGAAAGACAATCAAACGAGAGGAAAAACTAAAGCAAACAAAAGACGCACGAAAATGAAAGAGAATTAAGTGAGGCCTGGCAAAAAATAAACGAGGAAAAAAGAAAGTTCCGCAATTCTTCTTGTTCTTGGGCACTTTTTTTGTTCCCAGCAATTATCCGGTGGTCAAACAAAAGTCATTAAATTGCGGAAATCGGGTCACCAAACCGACAACAAACCCAACTAAAAGAGGGGCAAAAAAAAGAAAAACAGACAAGCGGCGGCAAAAAGCCCCGAAAAACCGTCGAAAAAGAACATACGACTAAATTGTGAATTTATTTACATTTAACTGCATCTAAATTACAAAACACAAGCGGTTGGCAGCATTGTTTCAGAAATTATATTTTAATGTGTGTCCTCCGCTTTCATTGCGATGATGTCCCTCTATATCCCTCTCTCCCTCCTCTTCTTCCACCTTTCTTATTTGCCTCAGTGTCGAGATAATGATGATGATATGACTCATTAACCTCGACGCATGACCCAAGCAAATTAGAACTACAAGAAAACTCATTCCAGCCACAAAGACACCATTTCTTTACACTTCCCAGCAAGAGAAAAGACATTTTAAATTAGGCATTTTAATAATAGGTTTTGATTAACTTGGGAAAACTTTGGAGCTACCTTTTAAATGATGTTGATGTATGATTGTGTGCATAGTTATTTTTTGGGGGTTTTTAAAATGGTCATTAATATTTTAGACACAATATTATAAATAATAAAAATTAATCTGCTGCGCTGGCTTTAAAAAAGTTTCATATGCAATGTCCCTAACAATATTTCGCATTAAATTAAGCTTTGACATATTATACTTTTGCAATAATCCGCTTTTGCTTAAAAATATTTACCCTGCAGCTCAGTGTAATCTTTTTGAAGCGCATATGAGCGATATAGATACATATTTCAGCTGTCTGAGGCAAACCCGGTCTGTTTGAGCTGTAAGTGTCTTTTGAGGCCGTGTTTTATTGCTGCTAAGTTCGCTTGTTGACTTTGGCTGAGTCATCATCTCGCGGTTCGTCGGCTCGATGTTAGAAGTTCCCCATTCTGGCTTCCCCCGAATACCCCTGCCCTTTTGTAGAAAAGCAGCACTTAGCTGACATATTTTCCTTTGTAAAACTTAATGGTCTAGATAAAGTTCGGTCGGCTGACTGC